GTTACTGCTTAGGCAAACTGATTGGAGTTGTTTTTGCAACTGGCCTGAAATTCACTTCCTTCAATAACAAACTGAGGTCCACTGACTGTTGATCGGATATGAGCCAGACTCCTGAAAAGTAACACATAGACTTTTTCTATTACTCCTATCATCACACAGGAGAACAAAAAGCTAAAAGAAACAGTCTGCTCTTGCAGTACTACTGTTATCAGCCAAAATGCTTCAGAAATTCAGCTGGGTGTCTACAAATTCTGAAAGTTTTCTGTTAGTGAAACAAAGACTATTATTTATTTCTCTTCTGCCATGCTTCTGAGTTTCCGCTGTACACAAGCCAAAAAAACCCTTTAATACTGTCAAATAACTGTCTCCACTGTAGGAAACCTTACATGTTTTGAAAGTTCTGGCTGAAATAAAGATAGTCTGGAAATTTTAATACTTAGACAATGAGGACAGAGCACATATTATTGAAAAGTAATTATGGAACAATAACTCTATCTAATATTTATCATAAGAAGAAGCATTTTGGGAGAACAATAAGCCCAAATAGCACTTCAGAAAACCTAAATTTCACAGAATGAAGATACTGTAGTACAAAGTCATGGTCAAAAATATTGTATTTTTAACCAGCAACATTTTTGAGGGGCAGTAACTGTACAATATTAGTTGCTTGGGTTTTTTTGGTGTGAGTTGTTTTTTTTTTTTAAACTATTTCTGTGCCTCAAACAACACACAATACATGCATTAAAATGACACTTTAAGAAAAACAAATATGATCTTTATTTTTAAATACTGCAAGTTTAAAAATGTATTTGACACCACCCCCCACACCCTTAAAAGTTTTTTTTTTTTAAAAATTGGTCAAATAAGGATTTCCTGCAGTGTGGTAATTGAGGAATCCAGCAACAGACTTCAGCTTTGACTGTATTTTAAAAGAAAAAAAACTCAAACCAACAGATTTACAGTAAGATTCACCTGGCTGACTTTGTATTTGTCACACTATCTTTAAAATCTTCCCCTATTCCTTTCTTTCCTGCAGCATGGATGCTGTGAAAAGGTTTGAATGAAACTTACAGTAAAATCCCTTTAGGTAGCTAAATAGTGAACATCAATGTATAGCTGACTATGCAGAAGTGTTTATAGTTTGACTGATACAACTCAAAATGTTATGGGTACTCCAAAGCCCAAAAAGAGCAAATATCAGCAGCTCCTTTTCTCAAACTAAACATGTTTTGCAAGATCTCTACTAAACTAACACACTGGACAGGGACAGATGGCTTTAGTTGTTTAATGTGTATTAAATTTTAGAATTTATGGTTTATGTTAAAATAGAGACCGTATTTACAGAAGTGTGAAATTCTAAAATAGTTAATTACCTACACCGGGACATTTCAATTTCCTAACTCAGGACTCACCAAAACACATTTGCTTTACTGGTCTCTTAGCTAGAGGTAGGTCATTCGTAGGCCTTGTTAATAGGCTATGCATATTAACAAGAGCTCACTAATGTAATAGTCTGCAGGACAACCAAGCACAGAGCTCCAAGAACAGCAGCACATATAATAAATTAATTGGGTAAATTTTATTTTTTTCTTGTGAGTTAACATGCCTTTGTTTTCTCCTAGTATTTCATTCTTTTGTGAAGAATGTGTAACAAGGAAAGGGTTGAGTAATCTGAAAGTCTTCTCCACCTTATAACCAAAGGCTGGGAGTCTAGCAATGTCTTTATATGCAGCCCTTTTCCCCCCATTTAGAGTTTTTGCAAATCATGCAGTCAATTCTGACTGATATTCAGCATAAAAAGTCTTTTCTCCCCTTTCAAACTTAAAAAAGTGATTCACAACCATGTTGCAGTATGATTAAAAATTACAGTCCATACACCTTGACAATCAAGAGTCTGAATTATAAAAAGTAGACTGCCCTTATAGATGCATCATCTCATACACGTAAGGACAGCGCCTGTTAATTTGTGAAAAAGGCAAGTTTAAGGTTTCTGTAAAACACGTATTACAGCTATTTTTGTGCTAGTGAACACCTAGAATATACAGGTTCCCAAGACGTTTTCCTTCCCTCTTCCCCCATTTATGACCTTCAAAGAAATCACAAAATTTTGGCAAAGTAAAAATGGTTTCTGTCTTGATGGTTTTGCCTTCAGCTTCATGTTAGAGGCACAAAATTCTGGACTCAAGCACTATAAGGCATAGTAGAAACCACCAATTAGGACAACAGTAACAACTACACCACCACCACAACGCAATATACTGCAAGTGGGAACAGCTGAGTCATTTAAAAAGGAAACGTTTTTGTAAACTGTCACACTGCAATACGGTGTTAGGTGATTCATGTAAAGCTTGCCTTGGCATGCTGAGTTTTTTGGTGTGGTTTGGTTTTTTTTAAGTTTGTTTTGGTTTTCCTTTTTTATTTTTCCTTTTTTTTTTTCTTTCCCCAGAACATGCTCAAATGACTTCAACTTTGCCACAGGTTCAACTTACCTAAAATACACCAGAAGTGGCACACACTCCTGGAAACTTTTGCAATCACAATATGACTAGAAAGCATGAGTAAACATTTGTTTTGTTTTTATACAAAACTCAGAACCACATTTCCTTCTCCCCTACCCAGTATCCCATAACAAAACAAAACAAATGAAGAAAAACACACAAACAAACCTGAATCTTTGTTAGACACTGCTTTTTTTTTTTTTTTTTCCTTTTTGCTTTGTCTTTTTTTTTTTTTTTTTCTTTTTTGGCTACAGTTCCATTTATAGCACTGAATCCAGTGTGGGCAATGTATTCCCATGTTAAAAGAAGGATATTATCAACAGTGGAACTGTGAAAATAAAAGCTCTATTGCATTTATAGCAAGATCATGACCAATTTTGTAATGCTGTAAGTAAGAGTCACTGCTCTGATCCCCTATCCAGAATGTCAGTGTCACTTTTTATAACCTATCTCCTCTAGCTTTATTAAATAATATGCTTTAACTTCTTAAAAACGTTAACAATAGTGATTTTCTGGTTGTTGTTGTTGTATATAAGGTTTTCAAAATTTCTGAAAGACTGATTGATCTGGTGTTCCACTTCTTTTCATGGTATTTTTAGGGCAACAGCATATACCCATTAGTACTTATGTACAATGGTTTGAAATATCTTTTAAGTTTACTTCTCTAATAAAGCCTACTAGAAAAGTAACCTAACATGAATCTGCCAAATATAAATTAAATTTATATTTAAAAGCTTATGTTCCAATCCTAGATATAACAGTGTAAATTCTTCTAATAGGACTGGTTTCTACAGCTGTATAAAGCCCTGACAATTTAAGCATTGTTTTGAACGTGAATGGTCTTCTGTCTGGGTGTCTCCAATTTACTTTTACTCAGGAATGTGCAAATGATTTTATACAGCACGATGCTGGTACCGCTCTGTACTATAGTAAATTTTTTTGTTTTGTAAATAAAAACCAACAACAAATCCCTAGTCAGAAATAAACTGACAAAATTTACATTCTTCTCTCTTAAAAAAGTAAATAAAATAACATTATTTAAAATGTGAATTAGCTATAAGACATACAATACAATTACATAGATACATATCAATACAGCACATTCAATTTGCCAAAAATTAATGATTACAAAGCCAATATGGATGCTGCCATATATATATATATATATATGTATGTACAATGATTATAGCATTCATAATTGCACTATACCTACAACCAGTTTTAAATTACAAGGTGTTTCAAGAGGGAGCAAAAAATAGCAACTGTTCTTATTATTGTTGTTTTGGAGCTGGGAGGTTTGAAGATGAAAAATGTCTCATTAGTATTTATTGTTAACTTTGGTAATCAACTAATAAGCCATTATTTTTTTCCACCTCCCATCTGCTGCTATGAAGTAGTAATTTCTGTATTAAGTGCACTCTAGTGCTACTTGGCATTGCAGATTATCCAATTAGAAGTCTGAACGCTGAGTTTTCTGTAGCTTGCTAGCAGTCATGCACCTGGTCAAAAAACACCTTTCAACCTAAGCTGCAGAATAAAGGCTCATCAATGTGTGCTGCATTTTTTGTTAAAAAATTGCACATGTAAATGTCAAGAATTATTTTCTCATAGTTTCTTTTACATTAATAAATCTTTTCTAAAGAACATTGAGAGGCTGTTTTGTGGAAAAGCCCATCAAAAGTCTGCAAATCAGTTAGTTAACAAGCAACCTTATCAAGAAAGGTTCCTGAGTGTGATCTCTCATCAATAGTTTCTTGTCATACAACTAGAGGTGCCTTGATATTATTACAGAAAACAATCTCATGCCATATCTGACATAAGGAGAGATTTAAACTGTCCTTAAATTAGTAGACCACATGCATGTGCATTGTTTTGGCATTAGAAAATGGAACACTTCATAAGAAATGGAACATAAGAGCTGAAACTCTGTTTATCATTTGGCAGTTGACTCAATCAGGTCAGTTCCCAACCCATCAGTTTGGCATTTCAATTAGTATCTCATGTTTCAAGAGCATTGGTTTTATAAAAAGCCAGATTTGGCAACATTAGTTTTATACAATAAAAATATTTTTTCTACTGTGGAAAAAAGAACACTTAAGAAAGCTCTAACTTAAAAAAAAAACCCACACAACTGAAAAAAAATAAAATAGCCCACTGTTTCAGGCTGTAGCCATTGGGGAAAATGTAGTGTCTATGACATTTTTATTTGGCATCTGTGAATAAAAGAAGAGAGAAAAAAATGGCACATGGCAACTAAAAAGAGATTCTAACATATTCCACGTACATCCCAGGTTGTGTGTTAATGATTTCATTACTGTCTTCTATGCACCTTTCCAAATTGTGAAAACACAGTTAAATTTAATATCCTTGGACAACTGTAATTCTATTTTTCAATTCCAATATTCTAGTCTGAAAAGTGAAGACAGAATGAAGACCCCCATGTCAAAAATTTAAAAATCACAGTATCAATACTTTTGATCCTTCAGAGAAAGTACATACTGCAAAATTAGAATGACGGATGACTTACATTCTGATGATAGTATTTTCCTGACCAAATCACTCAACAGAAAACATTTCACCCAGGAATGTAACTGGGAAAAAAAGGCCATTGTACCTTGTGAAGGATAAGGGCGGCGGGTAGGAGGGGGCAGGAGAGAAAGGGTCAGGGAAAGATGAAACCAGCTTGATTTTGCTTCAACAGCAAAAACATGTTTTGTAAATGTACGACAATTTAAAACACATTGAGTCACAAGGTTTTGCCTAAAAAATGAGGAAATGTGCTGTGAATGTACTTCAGCATCTTTTAGTTTTCCTCCATATAGTTTAAATAAAATCATAATATTAACTACTAACTCTGTGGACACTCACAGAGTCCAGGCCAGCAATAAATTAGTATTATGGAAATTGTTTTCACAGATAATACAGTCCCTCCTGTATATCTTTTTAATCACACAAAGTTGGTTTTGGAGGGCCTCCTAGGCACAATTAGACCAGATTGTACTCCTTCAGGTTTAACTGTAGGATTGTGTCCTTGACAGCAGCAAAGACAAAGCGGATATTCTCTGTGTCTGTAGCACATGTGAAGTGGGAGTAGATAATTTTGTCACTGTCTGGATTCAGGTCTACGAACATCTTCAGGATGAACTCTCGTGCCGCTTGTGCATCCCGTTGTGGTCCTGACAAGTAAGAAGAGAAAGTCAATTTTCTTGAGGTTGATTCACTATTTTAACTTCTTTATCAGAAAACAAGAAAGGATCAGTCTGTGAACCTCACATAAGAGAAGACTGGGAAACTTTACTGATCAATAGTATCATATACTGGCTGCTTTCTTCCTGATAGCAATGATGAAAAATAAAGATGGAAGGAAATTTCAGAAGTTCATCAAGTCAGAGCTATCATGTCAAAGCTGCTTTTTTTTTCTGATGACTATCCCCTTTCTTCGGTGAGATAATGATTGAAAGAGCTGATTTATAAAAATAAAAAAGTAGCTTTATTAGTACAACTTTCAAAATGCTAATTAGTGCACATTCAGTCTACCCCTACTATATTTAAATGATACTTAAGCTCTTTCAACACTACAATATTTACTAATTTTATAAGGATTTTAATAGGTAGCATAATTAGATTATATCCTGAACTGGTCTGACATTGTGATCAATAGAACTTCATTTACTTTAGTGATGATAAAATACACATGCTCTCCAGCTGAAGATGTTTGACTGCAAACCACTCATTTTCTAACAAACCACTTCTTGTCTAAATTATGCATAATAATCCTATCAGAACTAAATGTAATTCACAGAGGGATGCAGTGTCTATGTCACCAAAGCACATATTCAGTTTTACAGAAGACAGAAGATAAAAGTAAAGATTCCCAGCCTTGAACAGTGAGAATTCGTTCACATCCAAAGCCAAAAAAGCAGTGCAGAAGCAAGAACACTAGCCATACAATGTTGGATTCCTTTCAGTTACTCCAGTGCTGTTTCCAAAGGCCAGTAGTCCTTTGCTCTCCCATTTCTGTTACATGGGTTTCCTCAAAACATACGTTTTCTGTGCCGTCTCCTGCTCCTGTTCTCTTCATCAGTCCCGGTCTTGTTGTATGGCAATATAAATCACAGCACTCAGCTGTTACATATAAGTCTGTCCTTCAGTAGTTAAGAAATTTCTACTTTGGGGGTGAGCCCATACCCACATAGTTTTCCACAACTGGATAATAAAACTTATTTTAAGACTTCAAGCATGCAGTTGCGAAATTTCCAATTGGAATAACAACAACAAAAAAAAAAAATCAGCATGCTTCCTGGTGAGCTGCAAATCCATGTGGAGGGGGAGTAAGATTCTGCAGTATATGGTGGATGCATGTGAACATGCATGTACATATATGTACCTACATACACATACACAGATTACACATTTCCTGAGATTTAGGGATGTAAACAGAAGCAGGTCAGAGGACTACTCAACACTTCAACAGCTTCTAAAACCCAAAGGGGTTGAGCCTTTGGCTTGGTCACTCACTCTCTAGCAACAGTAATTCTTACAAAACCAAGAATAAATTTGCAGTATTTGTAAGGAAAACTTTTAGACTTTCAAATACAATTATTTCTTCAAAACAAACCACTTGGTGTTTTAAACAACTTCCTAAAATTTTGTTAAAGTTTCATAGCAGCTAGACAGAGTGATTTCTCAGATCCTACTGCACTATTCAAAGCCTGTATCCAAATCTGCTTACGTAATCACACCTCTATTGACTATCATAGAATTCAAATTTTTGTTTGACTGAAGTTCAAGTATGGAAAATTAAGGTTAGAAAAAATGTGTATGACCTCAGGAATTTAGAAAAAAAATTGAACGAATCCATGTTAAATTTAGACTGCAAAGTGGTTGTGAACCAAGCAATATGGAGACTTGGAAAAGAACTACCCTATAAATCAGACAGTTTCTTGTCCACTGTTCCCTAATAAGCAGTTTTTGATGAGTGTTTCCACATGGTCCATCCAAGATCTTTATAAGAAGTACTACATCAATATTTTTCTCTTATTTTTCTCTTACCTATGGTAATTTTTAAATGCCCTCTCTCCCTCTCCCAGATCTTCACTCCAGTTTGTGAGTACTAGCAGTCTTCTATTACTAGCAATGCAAAGATGTCTTAAGATACACTGACCCCTGAGCATGCCTCAGTCCCCTTCCAATGTTGTTGAAATACATCGTGCAGCAGAATTTCTTAGCTTTATTTAATCAGTCCTATTTACCATTCCACCTAACAGGTCTCGTCCTTATGCTACTGTCCCCCTTGTGCAGGAAAACAGATGGAGGAAGTGATCCAGCTGAAAAATACCTAATTTTGATCCCTTCCTCAAACCTTCCCACCTCTCCCATCCCCAGTGTGCCAGTATAAAAGAGGGGATAACATGGTGACTTCTGCAATGCAAAGACCCCACCCACCCTGCCACCAGAAGAAATAAAATCAAACCATAACCTTATCAAGTGACATGAAGCCCAGTAAGATCTGCTGAATTAAGAGACAAAGACTCCTAGAGACTTCCAGGTCTTTACTCCAACCATTCTACCAGGCTATAAATTTTTTCCCCTCACCAATGCCAAAGGACAGGAGAAATAGTAGTTCTTTGACCTGAGCAGCTCTGTCGTTTTTTTCTGGACAAGTGTTTAATACAGGCCTTATAATCACTTGTGAGTGGTGATAACCGAGCAGACTGTATTCTCACCGTTAGGATACAATCTAGGGAAACTGCCATAGAAAGTAAACTCAAAAGAATGAGCATATTTCTGCTCAACTGCCAGTTCTCTTCTGCATAGCACTTTGAAACTAAACTTACACTGACTCAAATAATAATCCAATATTACAGGTTGTTTCCTGTTTGCTCACCCTTAAACAGGAAACAAAACTAATTTTCATAATTGAACATGAGAGATTTAATCTTTTACTCAGCTTTCAAATCTGCTGTTCACTCGCTGGAGAGTCATAACAGATTTTCTTTCTTAAAATAGGAGTGTCCAGTTCTTTAAAGCACTTAGTATGTGAGCTTGACATTCCTGTTACCACAGGTCCACACAGTTACCTTAAAATGCTTAGCTTTTTACTCCAGGAGAAGTTTCTGAAAGCATAGTTTTAGTAAAAACAGCTGTACAATACACAAATTTTTTAATGGAGAAGCACATTGAGCTTCACATCAACTACAGGCTGGAAGGAGGGGTACTGGTGTCTCTGAGTACCACAGAGAGCTTATGACACTTCACTTCAGATGTTCAGCCTTAAACAGAACCAAAATTCAAAAAAGAGTAAAGCTGAGGAATGCATGGTTATTTATTTTTAGCTTTTATAGTTCAATTTAAACTCTCACCCCAACTTATGAAAAAGGACAGAATGTGGTTCATTGATAGTATGACAATACTAAGCTAAAACACAACAAATTCCCACAAAAAGTTCTGCTGCCCTGCCTGCAATGAATTACAGTACAGAACTAAATCCCAGCACTCTCAAAAAAACCAAGAGTACAACCGTATTTTTTAAAGTTAGATAAAAAATCGCAGACCTTTTTTTTTGTTGTTGTTGGTTGGTTTTTGCTTTTGTTGTTTTTGTATTGTTCTGTTAAGAAGCAAGATATACCTAAGGATATATCTCTCTAGCATTTGGACAAGTTTATTACAATTTGTCAATACTGCCGTGCAAATACAGCATGAGTTCTGATACTGTTCTACTTACCGTCATACTCTGGAAAATAATCAACTAGATGGGAGTACATAATTTTCTCCTCTAAGAGATCTTTTTTATTTAAGAACAGAATGACTGAAGAGTTCTGGAACCATGGATATGTGATAATTGTCCTAAAGAGTGCTTTGCTTTCTTCCATTCGATTCTGGAATTAAAAAAGAGCAGAATTTTGTTGGTCATGAAAGTAATTGTCGAATTAAAAAAAAATAATTAATTAATGCATTTTCACTTTACTTGGTAAACAGATCCAATCCATGTTTTGCACCTTCCTACCAATATGTAATGTTCAAGTTAATAAATTACAATTAATAATTAAGCAGTTAATTAAATATGCAGGCATTTCCCTTCTACAAATTCAACTGCTCAAGCATAAGTATTCTTTAAAACACAGATCATGAACATGAAAGCTGTAACAGATGCATTTCTATAGTCTAAGTATGCACAGCTATGAGCAGCCAACTAACTGGTGGGTATTGCATAGATTCATGGTAGGGACAAGTATTCTACAACAAGACATAATAGCCAGTTCAAGGTTTAAGAACATTATTTATTTTATATGCCTTTCCCAGACTTGAAATGCATAGTTAGATAAAAAGATAGCAGCTTAAAAACAGTTGCAGGTAAATCTGGAACCTGAGACTCCTTTGCATTATAGCTGAAACGCAAATGAAGCATATGGTTCTATTTGTAACAGCTTTCTGTCACTGTAAAATTATTATTTTATACAATTCTGAAGAACTGTTAGGCTGATATGATGTGGTTAATACAGAGTCAGAACAAACCAATTTCAAAACAAAGGAATTAACTTCCCTTTTAATTATTATTTACAGCTGCAGCCCCCTGAAAAAAACCTGTTTCACCATCAAATGGAGATACAGAGAACAGCAGCAAGGCAAATCCTGCAGATTCTACTGCTGCTGAGCCGTACAACAAACTGTCAAATAACTCAGACAGTTTTGTAATAAGTGTATCTTTACTTGCATTAATTTGCCTTTTAAAGAGACACAAAACAAAACCAAACAAATAAACAACAACAAAACCCCAAAATAAACCTTGAAAGAAAAAACATTTTGTAGAAGTCAATGCTTTGGTCTCTTAAGTCTTAGGAGTTTTTTTACTACATGCTGGAGTGGTGGGTGAAAATAGATAGCTAGATTTATAGACTGAGAAACTAATGCAGAGGAGAATACCCCTTGCTTCCTTCTAGTCAGTTCCTATGACTTGCATTGTTTTCAGTGGTGCCAGGATTTCCTTCAGGGAGGAGAAAAACTGAAATGCCTACAGAGGTGAGCATGAAACCTAAGTCCTTAGCTTAATTGTTAATCAGACCATGTTTTCTTCTCAACATTCTGCAAAGTCTTCTCTAAACCAGGCCTTACAGAAAAGCAGTAGGAACTACACAGGATAGTTTTCAATTTTACAGTTATGAAAATGGCAATATAAACTTACAAACTACTGTTTAAATTATAAATACTTACCTGAACACTTGTTATATTCTAATGTGACACTCAGAAGGTGAAACAGTGTCAATCAAGATTCAATTAGTAGTGCTCTTTGGCAGTACATTTGTAAGCTACTGAAAACCTCTCAGTAAGAAAAGCTCACAGAAAACACAAAGAAATTACTTACTGTGAGTACATATTTCTGTTCTTTATAAAAATCCTTCAAGAGGGCTGCAACATTTTAATCTATAATGTGGTGGGTTTTTTCCATATACATAACACAGAATTGCAAAGACACAATAAATACATCGATTGGATTAATTTATGACCCTTCCTTCAGGAAAGCTCAAGAAAACTGTGTTTTGTGAACATTGTTATTAGACCCAGAGTACATTTCCATTTTCTGCTTGAAAGGGATTCCAAACAAGATGAAGCAGAAAAGGCATGCAGACTAAGGCTACATAGCTACAATGTCTGAAACAATTTCTGGCATTTGATCAGCTAAAACATTAACTCTGTAAGTGCTGTGTATCAGAAAAGTACCAGGATGCATCCCCAATAAATAACAAAATATTGTGTCTGCCCAAACAGGATACTATTAAGAAAGGATTGTGTAAACAAGCTGCTTCAGAAAAAAATTTTTACATCAAAGGAATTAATTACAGCCTTAAGAAGTGTACAGAAGTGGTTAAGTGCAGTCTAACACAAGTGAAAGAAACACTTAACTGCTTTAGAAAAAATACACAGTTCAAGGATGTCAGCAAGTGAAACCAATAAAACGCTATCAGACTATCCCACCTTCATTCACTTCATTGTATTTTTTTAGTACAGTCAAAGTTTCATGTTATACAGAAGCCACTTACATCCAAAAGTCATTCAGTTAACTTGCTAAGAAGACCCAGGCTAAATCTGAACCTATTCCTCATTCTGGGACAAAATGCTTTAATGAGGCAACAGAGAAAATCCTTTACTGAGGCAACAGTGGTAGATTATTGCTTTGCTAATTTTGTATTAAATTATTGAATCCCAAGAAAAATTAACTCTAAGTTAAAGTATTGTGGGAAATGACAAAAAAATGTACATTATGTTGCCAGAACCCACTAAAGTAGAATTATTTCTTACAGTATGACAATCATGCCCTGTACAGGAAAGCAAGGCAGTAAAGTCTTGCGCAGCAAATGGTAATTCAGAGGAACAGTAACTACCTCAGTTTAGATATTATTTCAGAGTGTACATCACTACAGAACACCTCATACCACATCTTCACCCGCAGAATGAAGCAAACAGCAGGAA